CTTTGAATAATTATACAATGAAAAGAATATTGCAATTACCACGTCTCATAAAGAAGATCAGTAAAACACGTCTGCCATTATGAATTGAAATGAAACCGTAAAATGATTTTAATTTTGCTTATAGTAAATACCTGCATTTAATACGATTTTCACGTCTTTTTTATTTTTACATATACTAAAATAACTACTGTCTTCCGATTATCGTTCTGGAGACAATCAAAGAATATCAAACTAATTTATGAAGTAGAGCAAGAAAACATATTTTATAAAAGGTAGAATTTAATCTTGGACTAAAAAGCACGGTCTTCATAGTAAAGCATTGTGATTAAACAAGGAACAAGTTGGAGAGCCTTTATGAATTTTAACATCATCAGAAATTTTGGGATGCTCTAAAACTTCTGATGAAGTTAAAATGAAATAGCGAAACGTAAAATTTTTAGGAAAATTTTCATACTTGTTGCTTATTTACTCATTCTGTTGGATTTAAGCCATATTAAATAAAGTTTTGTATTAAAATTTGAGTTTCAAACACTAATGAAAGTTGTTTTTGCGTGTATATGAGCGTGCGTATTATATTAACTGCTCAGTTAAATAATAGATTATAGCATAAATGTTTATGGCTAATGTTGATGTGACTTTTAAATGTTTAAATGGTTGACGTAAAAACTCAATACTTTTATATTTTTTATACGCATTTTATCACACATATGCAAATAAAACAAATATGGGAACGTGCGTTTATGAACACGCATACACACAATCTCTACCTTTCCCTCTCTCCTTCTCTCTATCTCTCTCTCACACACACACATACACATAATATAGTAAAGCTCGTGCTGAAGCATAGCACTTTATAAATACAGAAGAGATAGAGTATTAATAGCATAAATAAAATGAAATGTTCATTTATCTCGTTCCTACTCTCAGTTTCAAAGAGATTACATCCACACTGACTAATGGGTGTAATCACACACACACACGCACACACACATACACACACGCATTTATATATATATATATATATATATATATATATATATATAATTATTTTTTTTAAATATGATTCCATCGCGACACATAAATTAGTATGTTTTAGAGTGCAGTTTCATTGTCAAGCAATGTTTTAGGACATGAGTCAAATTTTGAAACATAGTAATTTCTGTGTAGTTATAATAATTATAATTTAAGCTCTACTTCTGTATCGAGCACTGATTTTTTTTAAATACTAAAGAACTTTGGATCATTAATTTAACTGTTTTTTTCTTATTACATCAAGATATACTCACACGCACACACACACGCATATATATATATATATATATATATATATATATATATATATATATATATATATATATATATTTCCTGTTACATCAATATATATATATAAGTCGACATTGACGTCAACGCCCAGAAAATTGCGTTTAAGCATGAAACGGTTTGTCGCCACTGGGTGTTGACCTCAATGTCTATTTTATTTTACATACGCTATATCCTTGATACTGAACACTAAACCATAAATAGCTTATATATATATATATATATATATATATATATATATATATATATATATATATTTTATTAAAGACATTTTTATTTATGTTTAACGTTGTTATTTTATAGATACAAGTATTTAAGCAAATGCTCTGTTTATGATAAACAGTATTAAATAACATTTACCGGCCTGAATGTCCGAGAAATTTTCATGAAAAATATTCGTTCATAGACCTGTCTATGAACAAATATTTTCTTTCTATAAAATAACAACGTTAAACATAAATAAAATGTCTTTAATAAATAAATTGTCGGACCTCGTCCATTTCTTAACATATGACGTCATATATATATATATATATATATATATATATATATATATATATATATATACTAGCAGCATGGCCCGGCGTTGCCCGTGCTTGATTCAAAAATCGTACGACTCATACTGCAATCGCTATCACTTGACTTAAAATATTTTTGCCCCTCCTTGCCTTTAAAGGAGTGCCCTTTGTCGTTCTGTTGTTGCTACATGCCTTACCTCTTGCCTATCTCACACTGCGAATTTTTTCTAAGCTCTATACTAAACATTAAATCTGTTACGAAAAAAGAACTAAACAAAATGAACACAAAGCGATCAGGTTTAAAAAAGGACTCGTAACTGGAAAAACCGAATGAAAAAAGAATGTTAACAACAAATACTTTTTCACACCCAACCAAGTTCTACGAAATCAGAATCAACGTTGAGTTTAAGCAAGCGAATGAGCCCATTGGAGTAAAGTGCCATGCAGATTTAAATTTTTTCCACTTGTGACGAATGCAGCTATCGGTTTTTTTTTTTTGCATGCTAGTTAACATTCGTGTCAGTCAGCTGTTGGCTCTCACGCTGGCCAATAGAATCTTCCTGCCTATTCGTGGCAGCCAGCTATTGGCTCTCACTCTGGCCAGTACAAAATGGCCGCAAACTAAATGGCATCTGCCGTAGAAGCATGAAAAAATCGATTAT